TGGTAGGGACCTAACAGAGGGAGAAGAGATTAAGAAGTGGTGGCAAGGGTACAGGGGAGAACTATACAAGAAAGATCTTAATGTCCTTGATAACCATGGTAGTGTGCTTGCTGACCTTGACCCATACATCATGGAGTGTGAAGTCAAATGGGCCTTAGGAAGTCTGAGCAACAACAAAGCTAGCAGAGGTGATGGTATTTCAGCTGATCTATTCAAAATCCTAAAAGACGATGCAGTAAAAGTGCTACACTCAATATGCCAGCAAATTTGGAAAACTCAACAGTGGCCACAGGATTGGAAAAGGTCAGTTTACATTCCAATCCCAAAGAAGGGCAATACCAAAGAATGTTCACACTACCACACCATTGCACTCATTTCACATTATAGTAAAGTTATGCTCAAAATCCTCCAAGCTAGGCTTCAGCAATATGTGGACCGAGAACTACCAGAAGTACAGGCAGGGTTTCGCAGAGGGAGAGGAACTAGAGATCAAATTGCCAACATATGCTGGATCATGAAGAAAGCTAGGGAGTTCCAGAAAAACATCTACTTCTGCTTCATTAACTATGCTAAAGCTTTGATTGTGTGGTTCACAACAAATTGTGGCAAGTTCTTAAAGAGATGGGAGTACCAGACCATCTTATTTGTCTCTTGAGAAACCTATATGTGGGTCAAGAAGCAACAGTGAGAACTGGACATGGAACCATTGATTGGTTCAAAATTGAGAAAGGAGTTCGGCAAGGCTGTATACTGTCGCCCTGCCTATTTAACTTATATGCAGTTATATAACAGTTATATGCAGTTATATAACATCATGCGAAAGGCCATGCTAATTTGAATCACAAGCCAGAATTAAGATTGCTGGGAGAAATATCAACAACCTCAGATATGCAGACGATACCACTCTAATGGCAGAAAGTAAAGAGGAACTAAAGAGCCTCTTGATGCGGGTGAAAGAGGAGAGGGCTAATATTGGCATGAAACTCAACATTAAGGAAACTAAGATCATGGCATCTGGTTTTATCACTTCCTGGCAAATACGGCTCATAGATGGGGAAGAAATGGAGGTAGGGACAGATTTTATTTTCTTGGGCTCCAAGATCACAGCAGACAGTGAATGCAGTCAAGAAATTAAAAGACGCTTGCTCCTTTGAAAGGAAAACTATGGCAAATCTGGACAGCATACTAAAAAGCAAAGACATCACCCTGCTGACAAAAGTTCGTATAGTCAAAGCTATGGTTTTCCCAGTTGCAATGAATGGCTTTGAAAGTTGGACCATAAGGAAGGCTGAGCACTAAAGAATTGAGTGGATTCCAGGGTATGTTAGAGGACAGACAGAAGAGTCTGGAGGAATGTTGTCCATGGGGTTGTGAGGGGCTGGACATGACTTAGAGACTAAACAAGCAACAACCAATGGTGGAGTGGGGAAAGGGTTCCCACCAGAATGCCCTGAGCTATGAAATCATTCCAACAACAGGCTCCACACAGGGACCAAATCCACAAAGAAGACTTTTGCAAATTCTTTGTAAATTAATGAAACACAGAATTTTAAGATACATTGTTGTGAGGTTTAGTTATTATTCAAATGTTAAAGGTGAGGGAAAGCTATTTAATCAGTCAAGTTCTTTGAGAGTTTATCTGTTCAGTTCTTTGGGAGTAAAACTGTTCATTATTTATCTCTAATATATAGTAGAAATGTTGGAGGGAAAAAACCCTTTTGCATCTGAAAGATGAGGATTGATTAATTTCTAATTATAAGAACTCGATGTGGTTTCTTCTAGTGATATAGAAACGGAGAAAAAATTCAGTCATTTTTAATTTTTCAAGATTCAATAATCTTAAACTATGTGTATTTTTATGAATGTACTTGGATGCCAAATTCATTCTACATCCAAGAAGTTCCTAGGGCAAGATGGCAATCAATAGAAGAAGAGACAATTGGAAACAATGCATGACCTGGAGCACTATTCTGACAAGACAAGAATTATTTTTTAATCTTCTCTTAGCAGTTAAATTTTTTTTCAATAAAATATGACAATAGTTTTGCACTTTACGGGCAGCAACAATTCAGGCTTAGTCTTGCACACATTGACTTGGAAGCTAATCGCTTTGTGTTCAGTAGCACCTGCTTTCCTGTGCAAGCATGTACAGGATCATGTATAACTACTGTAGTGATTTAACTGATCAAACCTCAAAACCTCTTGGGTATGGATTATGGAAACTGAAATGTTCACTTATCTTTTAAGATTCAAAAGAACCAAGCTTAAAGAGCAATCTTATTGGTTCAGAGATGTGTTATTTGAATGTAAGAAGAAACATAAGATAACATACACTGGCTGAGTGCATGGTATGTATACCAAATGCAGTAGCATTGCTACAAAAAACCCCACTACAATTCAGCAAATCAGACTGTTTATATGCATGTACAGCTCTTGCTCCCTGTTGAACTCAAGCAAGCATAGCAAAGCATATTATGCAAAAATAAATCCCTGTGGCTCTCAATACAAATTTGATCAAAGAAGCATCCTTTATAACATTCAATACGGAAGTATAAATCCTAATCCAGGTTTGCAAATAGCCACCTGCATCCTTGCCTGAGGAGAGTAGAAATTGCCCCACAGTCTCTTAGTTCACAGTTAATTCCCAGCATATGTTTATAGAGCTATCAGAGAAAGCTGGTGCATAGCAGTGATTACAGGACAGAGCTATGAATTTGGTAGTCGCTGCTTCAAATCTCACATGTGCCCATTGCATGCTTGGCAATTTGAGAAACTGACCTGCACACCACTGCAAAATGGCATCCATGGGAAGCCTAACTAGCTATAAAGGACACGTAACCTGTCCAAAAGCCTGAGTACAAGGGAGAGGTAGAGTGTATGATTCAATGCATTGCACAACCCTTTTAAACATAGTTCTCAGTGCCAACAGATAACTATTTCACAAAAAAGCAAACTCTTTTTCTCTCCTATCCCCCTTATCCCAGTCAACTTGTTCCTCTTCTCTCATCCTAGGTCACCACACACAAATGTATGCATGCTCATACCCACAAGCAACCAGCATCCATCCATCCATTACCTACCCCCCGCCCATGAAAAATCATATCACTTTTTCAGGAGCCATCAAAAATTCTCCCTCAAAGGTTTTCTTCCTCTTTTTCTCTTTATCTATTCAGACGTGGAAGCAAACAACCCTTCCCAGCACTGAGGTTGCTCTCAAGTGTTTCTTCTAGCCCCTGCTAGGTTTTGTTTGGTTTCCCTCCCTCTCCACCCCATGCCCTAAGTTGGCTTACTAGGCCCCAACTGTTTTCTTTGGTTCCTCACAGATGTGAAAGACATCCCTATTTCTTTTTCCCTTCATGGGAAACCACAGAAAAAAGCATTAGGTAACAGCCACAGGTCATCATCAATTCTTAAGAATGTTTCTGGACCCAACATACATCTGAGAGGCAGTCATGGAATATTAAGATGGCAGTGGCTGAAGGCACACTCACTTTGCTTTGGAGCTATCCCAGCTACCCAATACAGTAGCTACATCTACACAGACTGACAAATGGCTGCAACAGGAAACACAATTTCTATCTCTAACCAAGAATGAAAGATGAGATTATCTCCCATTCCCCCTCTTGGGGACCCCTAAAAAGTGACAAATGCAGTCAAAAGGTGAGGTGAACCAAATCTCTACAGGCAATTCCCACCAGAAAATAATTTGAGACCATGAAAAGAAGTGTACCACATAGTGGAGACATTCAGAATTAGTAGAACTCAATATGGATAACCACTCTGCAAATTGTGGAACTGTTCTCTTCCATGAATACACAATCCTTTTCAGACTTCTTATGCAAAGCTTACTTTTGCAGAGGCAAAGTAATTCTTCTAACACCTGATAAAGATATACATCCTGTTCCATATGGCCAGCTCGTACACCTCATCTAAGAGAAGGTTCTCTCACTAAAACCCCAGTATCTAAAACCCCAGTCCCTCCTTGAGCAGGCCAGTATGTCCTCCAGAACCTCCAAATTACTGGAAGAATCTTTTTGGAAGGCAATGTACTAGAAAAGCCACTGACACCCTTTTGCTTAAACAGAAGCAGGATATCTTCTACCTGTATTTCTAATGTATAAAAACTTGTTTAAGAAAATACTAGATATATTTGGGCTGGGTAGACATGGTAACAACATATTGCTTATGCTCAAAGACCAGCACTTAATTTTTAAGAAGCAGTCATATCTTGAAAATGCTATTCCTGAACATTATTCTACATATGTGGGAATTTGCAGCTTCTTAAATTATTATAGAGGAACTGCACAAGCTGAAGCTTAACCATGGGTCTATACGGATGGGGTAAGCTATTATCTTCAATGAATGCATTTGCAAGGCTACACTTCGATCATTTAGAAACAAACATCCATGAATACATGAAACTTTACACCTGTAGAGAGTGTAGAAAGGGTACCACACTCTGTTCTATTTTGTTCAGAGGAATATTTATCACTGGACTTAAAGAAAAACAATGGCATAAGCTATCACAACTGCTATTTTCTTGTATGCTATTAAATTTTAGATAGGAGCCTCTATAAAAGTGCTTTTAGGTAACTACTGGGTCTGCATTTTTTACAAAAACATGAAAACATCGACATCTTTAGGATTTATGTCCATTGTGTTGTAAAACATTTTGGAGAAAGGACACGAAGTTAATTTAAAGACCTTCTACCCTAAGAAAAATGTTACTGGAATGCCTTAGTTTGACAACTACTAAGTTATCCAGCCCCTACCCACAATTCTTTCATATCACTCTTCTGCAAACATTGTAGAAACAGGAGTGACCATAAACTGTCAAAAGATGAATGAACCAGCCTACAAACAGTCATAAGTTGGTACAGGATGTTGGCTTATATATTAGGCAACAGATTGGTACAATTCAAGCAATTACTTGCTTTGTTAGTGAAGCAATTTGTAGATATAAACAAGGAGACAGGCTAAAGTGTTCACAGATTGGTTACCTGTGAGACTGGTGCTTTAACATGGGTTGGAATTCCAGAGGAAGAAACAGAACCACTAGGAGGCAGGTTTTTACTGGTCACTGAAGCCCAGGAGAAAGCCTGCAGGAAATGCAACAAACCTGATCTACTGATCATGGCAAACCACCAACATTACTTAAGGGAAAACTAGACCAATGAAAACATTCCTGATCTACTCCAAAGCAGTCTCAGGATTAAACACTAACACAAATTATGAGCATTTTATCATTTTAGCTATCTATTAATTTCAGCAACCATGAACAAATCAAGTGCTATGCTCAGTTTCATCACCTTAAAATAGCTAATTCCTCAATGACTGCCAAATCAATTTTCAAAAGAGATTATTATGCAAGTGTAAACATTTCATTCTCTCTTTTGTACCTAGAAAGACTTAATATTTCCATGGTTAAGAGCAGAGGTAGTAAACCTCAGACCCAGGTGTTAAACCTAGCTCTCCTGGAGTCCCAATTCCACCCCCCAGGATTCTCCAGATAGCTATGTTTACTCCTTTGTCACCACCATTCATTTGATACTTTCCCAGCTTTTGTGCTGCTTTTTACCCATCCTAAAGGGTTGAAATGTCTCTTTTAATGTTTAGCTGCTTGCAATAAGAGCATTAAACCATGATACGTTGGGATTTTTTTAATCATTTCAGCTCTTTCTCTTTTATCAATGACATGGAGGAAGGGGTAACTAGTCCGCTGACCAAATCTGCAGACAATACCAAATGGTGGCCACAACAGAGAAGCAGGCACTCCAAATCCAAAAGATCTGGACAGACTGTGGAAGTGGGCACATGACAACAGGATGGCATTCAAAGTCTTGCACTTTGGAATCAGGAATAAGTGCCATAGGTACAGGATGGGGAGCAGCACTTGTGAAACAGATCTCAGGGTACCTGTCAACAGCAAACTAAACATGAGACAGAAGTGTGATGCTGTGCTTAACAGGGCAAATGCCACCCTTGGATGAATAGCCAGAGGTGTGGCTTCCAGATCAAGAGAAGTCTGTTGCTGACTCCAGTGCATCCCCAACCACAGTACTCTGTCCAGTTCTGGGCTCCACATTACAAGAGGGACATAGCAAGCTTAGAAGTAGTTCTGTGCAAAGACACAAGGATGGTAGCTGGATTGCGGGGGATGCCTTATCAGATGAGATTGAGGGAACTGGGACTTTTCAGCTTGGAAAAGAGGAGACTCAGAGGGGATCTTATAGTGACTTATGGGTCTGTGAAGGAATGTCACAAGGTAGAATGTTGTGACCTGTTCTTCCCTGTGATGGAGGGAAGGACGTGATCCAATGGGACAAAGCTCTAGGAACAGGGCTTTAAGCTGGGTGTCAGGAAGTACTTTCTGATGGTTAGGACCCCTAACGTATGGAATGAGCTTCCATGGGAGGTGGTGGAGGCCCCATCAGTGAGGGAGTTCAAGTAAAGATTGGAGACCCACATGTTGGACATTATATGAGCAGAGCTGGCTTGTGCTGGGGGTCAGCCTAAATGGCTCAGGAGGCCCCTTCTGACTTTCTGTGTTTTGTCTCTGGGCCCTCCCACCACTGAAATACAGCTCCCAAGAGCTTCTCTGAAGTGGAATTTAGCCCTGGTTAAGAGAATGGGAAGAGTTACTCCCAAAAAAACCTTCTCTCTCTGGATCAAATTCCTCTATTACCTTACTTGCAGTCTTTACTGTGGTAGCATGCAATAGCAGCACTGCCAGGGCTAATATCACTGCAGGACAAAACACAATTTCTCACAGCTAGAATATGCCCGTCTAAAGAGGAAATTCATGGTATGGGGGTGCTACTAGGAGGTGCTACTTCTACTCAAGTGCCATCTGTGGCACAAAGTGCTCTTTACCAGCTAAGGCTGGTATGACTGTGACATGCACAGGACTGTTCAAATCTCATTTATGCTACTAGAACTCATTTTAAGACTATTGAAAAGTGTCAAATATGGTGTTTAGGTTACCAGTTGGGACCAGTTCTATATCTTGGCAGTCTTGAAGCAGCTACACTAACTTCTATTATGTTTCCAATACTTCCAATTCAAAGTTTTGTTTTAAACATTAAAGGTCTTTACAGCTTGGGATCAAGGTATCTAAAAGAGCAATCCTTCCACATAAATTTGTTCATAAAATGATTGTCTGAGGCTGATTTCTAGGTGTCCTTGCTATTAAGGATAGATGACAACCAAATATGGCCTTTCACTTGCAGTCCCTACTTAAAGAATGCCATCCCTAGGAAGATGAGCCTGGAGGCATCAAACTTCTTACATTTTACAATAGCAGTCCTGTTTTTACTTAATTCTTTTAAAATGAATGGTTTTAAACTGCTGAATTGTGGTGCTTTTAGTCATTGGTGCATATTTTTACTCTCCTTTTTCATTTACTGTTAAATCAGTTTAAATTTTATTCTATTTTAATGTATCCATAAGATGTTTTGATTATTTTTGTGGCAAAGTGGTAATTGAAAAAAATAAAATGAGCAAAACTAGAGTTGCTAACTAGTTTCAAACCCAGATTTGAAATCCAAATTAGGCTGGAACCTGAGTTAATATTAATGGTGGTTAAAAGTTAACACTCATGCCAATGAAATGCTAAACTGCAGTTAAAGCCAGCAAGAGAAGGGTACATGCACTCCTACATTCCACTCCTGAACTCTTCGTTTTGTTTAATAAGTCAAGAGTATTATGTCTCTATAAACCCCTGGGAATGAAAGCAGAAAAGTAGATTATATAATTCCGAAATACTAAAACAAAGATGCCATTATTAAACATTTTAATGACTCTGGGTAAATTTGTTAAGTGTCTTCCTACAAACTCCAAATTATTAAGCCAACTCTTACCACACAGCACATAAAAGTTGTGGTATTTCTCCTCACCTACTGGGATCTAATCTTAGGACTATATGTATTTTAAGTTAAGTTGTGAAAGACTGAAAGCTAAATACAGTAAAAATGCAGAATACAGTTAAAGGTCTACCATGCCATGCCAACACTGATAATGAGCTGTAACTTTACACGCAACTTAAATCCCTTAATAGTTGCAATATAAATTAAAAACATTTTTCCTTTGGATGTCAACTGCAGCACAACAGGAACAAAGTTCAGAAACTAAACACTCAGTGCAAACTTTATTCCCAGTCTATTTGTGATTATGGTTATCCCAGTCTTTCTCAGAATTGGGTTTTGCTAACCAGTTTCAATATAATTAGACAAAGCATCCTAACTTAACCAACCTTTGGTGGTTCCTGTGGTAGAGAAGCTGTTTCTACAGGAGGTGGAGATGGAGATTTTTCTTCTAGTTCTTCCAGATTCTTTTCTTCAGCTTCAGGTTTCAGTTCTTCAGTTTTTGATTCAGATTCCAGCTCTGGTTCTGGTTCATGAGAAGATTCTTCCAAGGTTTCTTCTACTCCATTACTAAAAATTGTGTAAATCAAAAACTGTTAAACTTTGCTTAACCTCAAATGCTATCTGAATTATCTGAATTGAATGGCAACTTTCAGGGGTACATGCCATCATAAATTACTCATCTAGGAATATCATTCATCCTGCAACTCATGTTTGTATTGAACTCCTTTGTTGATACACAATTTCACTAGCCTCTCATTTTTGGCTATCAGTAGCCAAATCCATTCTTATACTGTGGTAAAAATTAACTGTATTGTCCATTATGTAATTAGCACACCTGCCAAAAAAAACCCATGTAAGCAAATTATTTCCATACAAGCTGGCTTCCTAGGAATTTGCAATGAATGTTAAACTTGCCTTCTCAGTTACCTTATCCACTTACACCCTGGCTCACTTGCAAATTTTATGTACAAACCAGTACATAGAAATGAGCCAAAAGATAAAAATAAAATACAGATGTCTAATTACCTTTCTAAAATGTGGCATGAAGATCTCTGAAAGAAAGCCATATGTCCCATGATTTTTCCCCCAAAAGCAGTCTTATCATTGTTCAACTATGCAATTGTGTCAGTATAATTCCAGAAAAATAAAGTCTGGACAATCTTACTTCCTGATACACTGGTCTATAAATTTTGGGAAATTATCGACCTCTGAGATAAAATGTGCTAATTCTTACATATTTTGATTAGATGAATTAAAAAACAGGTGATAAAGGTGTTGGTTGGCTAAAGTCTTCACAATATTTCACAATAAAGATTTATACACAGGAGAGTATATTTGCCTACAAGGGAGGGAGGTGTCTGATGATCATGATGCCTCGTAACTTACAAGTATAGTAGAACAATGAAAATGGTACCACATGGAAGTGTATAAATTTATCTTCACTTTGAGACTAAAGATTATTACCTAACTGCAATTTATTGTTCTTTTATTGAAAGGAACATTTGTCTTGGTCAGATCTACGCATCACAATTACATCTGGTGGCTTGTGAAAGTGTCATTGCCTAACATTTCCAAGGAACAGTTGCGTGGTATTTTCCCTCAGAAGCCAAGATGCTTTGAAACTGTGTAAACAACACAAATAAGTTCTGCAACATTTGTGGCGAGGTTACCTTTGCATCTCAAAAGTGCAGCATGATGGCAATGGTAAAAAAGACATACTACCTATATTTTGGATGCAAAATAGGGGATCAGGACAAGAGTTGGGCCCCTCATTATTGTTGCACTACATGTGCAACTTATCTGTATCATTGGCTAAAGAAGAAGAAAAAGTTCATGCCTTTCACAGTCCCAATGGTGTGGAGGGAACCCTCTGATCATAGTAGCAACTGCTATTTTTGCATGGTTCCCCAAATTGCAAAAAGGATCTCAAGAAAGAAGAAGTGGACCATGGAATATCCAAACATTCCATCCACACTGCATCCTCTACTCCATGGTGAGGACTTGCCAATTCCAGATCCACCAGAATCCTACTCTCTAGACTCAGATGATAATAAAGACAATGAGCAGGATGCAGCTGATCCAGGGCCATCGATGCCAGCGTACCCAAACTTTAGCCCACCGTATGATCCTCCTGAACCACATCTAATTTCACAGAGTGAACTAAATGACCATTCTCATTGCTATATCACCTTTTGCAGAAAAGTTATGGAGCATAATCGCACAACCCCCTCATAATTTTTAATTATTTTGATGCAATTTTGACCTGAAGTTGTATCTTGGAAACAGGAGCCAATTAATATTCAGGACTTAATTTTCTTTTATTAGTGACCCAATTCTGGTAAAATTTAGCTGCTTTCATTTCCAAGGCTTTCTCCTTGTAGACCAGTGACATCAGAGTTTATCACAAGCCAATAATTTAAGATACAATTTTTCAAAACTGTAAAATTGAATTTGTATTGTAGTTTTAAAATGTGTGTAGCAAATTGGTGGTAACATATGCATGAAAACTTGTCTTACGTTACAGGATGGCTATCATAGTAAGTACTGCTTGTATTCTCTTGAACCGGCTCTGGGGATGGCTGCCTTTCTTCATGTTCTTCTTCGACTTCATCTTCTGTCTCTAAGACATTCCATAGATGGAAAGTTATTTTAATATATTCATTAAACATTACAAATGCATTTATAAAGCAACATGCAATTTTGCTAACTACAACACTATAAGCATTGCAGATTATTGTAGTGCTGCAATGTTTCGTTGGTCATTTAAACAATATTCTAACAGATTTACAAGTACCTGAATTAATTGGACATTTTTAATACATTCAGCTTTTAATAAAGTAAAAGGCATGGGTAGCAGGAACTGTCTTAGAAAAAGATGCAAGGGAACTCTTCTGGGAAATTTCCTGCTGGAGAGGAAAGCTCGTTACAGTCATTCCTCACTTTACAGCCATACGTGCCCATAAAGCCAGTTCAACATGAATGATCACCAATCCTCCTCTCAGGCTTGGATCTGGGAAAGAAATTATCTCTAAGCTTGTGCAGTGTGTGGAATGCTACTGAAGCTCAGCATGATGCCAGGAACAAGGCTTAGGATGGTAACCACAGATTTTGACCAGTTGCTAAAGTTTGTTAACTGCTGGCATACAGGTCCATGTTAGAGCTATCAGTATGAAAAGCATTACAAAAATCAAGTTTGATCATTTGCTTTAAAACTGTATTACAAGTGGCATTTAGGTAGCAGGATATAATTTCACAATTCAGAACATGCACACAAACTGCAATACATAAGTGGCAGAAAGATGAACAAATATGAGCCAAGACGTTTCTTTGGTCTTAGCTAAACACATTATAAAACACTATGGTCATGTTCACAGATTAGTAAATCATGAATTATGGCTTAAACTAGAGTATGAATGAACAAGTGCATGTAGCCCACTTGTTACCATTTTGTGCCTCTGACCAGAAAAAAAATGATTACTCATGACATCTGAACTCAGGATCTGGGCTTGTATGCTCACAGACAAGTCAATATTCATAAGGTAATAAACATCATGAGAAGTTCTCCTTTTCCTAGTACTAAATGTAGACACTGTCATCCATCATAGGGCTCCAAGGCAGTGTTCACAAAATTATCAAGCAAACTACAAATTCAATACAAAAACCATACAATTACACATTAAGACAAATAAAGCTACTAGTGTTTTGTGCAAGGGGAGAGCAAACCCCAGCTTGCCATAAATTAACATTTTAGAATGTAATGCTATAATTCATGGTTTTAAGGTATGAATGTGGACTATGCCTTTAATCTCAGAAATCTTTCCTATTGAAAAGAGTTTGATATCCATTTCATATCTGTATCTCAGTTAAGCCATTCCTGGGTTCAACCAGCCTAAGCTTGTACACAGTGCTATTTTTGTAAGAAAAATGCTGCCAGAACTCACACCTTGTTAATCTTTTATTAAAAGAAATATATTTAGTTCTTAACATAAATTTAATTTATTGTATTTAATGCAAATGTTCATAGTAAATTCCAAAGTTTTAGCCAATTCTCGTCTGACAAATCTTCTCGACTCCTTTCCCTGCTGTTAGTATCTATGGTCGAATGTCGTCCTCTGAGTAACCACAGATCAACGTACCTTGAAGGATCGAAAAATCTCAGAGGTGGTCCGACAAGTTTGATGAACAAAAGTGCTGAAATTGTCTTAGTCTTCAACGAAGCTCTTGTTGGGGTGGCAAATCTGCGAAAACCCGCATTCACATTCACTTGAAGAAATGGGAATGGTATTCAGAGTCCGTATCATATGCAACAGTTTTTCTGGATATGTCTTTTCGAGAATGTATTCACAGAATCCACAAATCATTTCTCTTTCATTTAGCTGCAGTCTGATTGACAAGTTTCTAATTTTCACTTCTCCAAATGTCAGCTGAGTATTAACATCTTCAGGCCAATGTTTTTGATCAAGTACACGAGACCAATACGCCAACTCATCATCTTTGCTATCAAGCAATCTTTTTTCGATTGACTCTTTCAAATTCTGTATAAAATGTACTTGGGTCAATGGGAGGATCCTTTCTTTAATCTTTTTCGTGAAGTAAAACTCCATGAAAGCGAAGATCATGTACAGCAGCAACAGCGCATTTATAATACGGCCCAAAGTTCTGTCTTATTTCTTCAAAAATGTGTACCAGCATTTTTATTTTCTTATTTGCCTTGTACAAGTCCATGTTGCAGTCCTGTAGGTCCAAACTTAATTCTAATAATTCTTGGAGAGCGTCACACATCAATCCTAGGTCCAATAAAAATTCTGTAGATGAGATTTTTCTTTTCAAGCCATCATAAGTGTATTTATCATTTGCATCTCTTGTAGGATCATGCATTGCTTCTTCAAAATGATACACAAGGGATTCAAAATTATTCCACACAGCCAAAACTGTATGCAAACTAGATGACACCCATCGGGTACTTAAAATTCTTCTAATTTTCAGCAGCTCAGCCCCCAGTAATTCTGCACATAAATGCAACTCTCTAACATTCTTTGCCGAAGCATGGTATATGACATAAAGTTTATCAATAGATGATTTGAATCTATTTATTCCTGAAGTTTCCCTGACAGCATCACCTACTGATAATTCTAGTCTGTGATTAGCACAATGCCAAACTATAACAGAAGGAAAACGTTCTGACAGCAATTTTTTCACTCCACTTTTACACCCTAACATCACAGCAGCGCCGTCACATGCCAGAGAAACCAAATATTTTTTAAAATAATCTTCTGTCATCCTGTAAGAGTGAAGACATTGGAGTAGGGAATCAAATACTCCTTCTGCAGTTACTTTTTCAAGTTCTACCAAGTCCAAAAACAAATTTATCGGTTCAATACAGCATCAAACATATACTATGAGGGTAGTTTTTTTGCTTATTGTGGTTGATTCATCAATTATCAATGAAATTTTATTACTGGATTGAACAATTTCTTTAACCACAGTTTTCCTCATTTCTTCACTAGTATGATTAACAATGTTAATACACGCATTTGTAGAATGAAGAATACGACCCATTTCAACTCCGTTCAGTTCTTGCAGATCAATTTCAGTTTCAAAATGATGGAATGATTGATTTTCCTTTACTACTTTATATGCAATTTGAAAAATTTTTGCAGTTATTATTTTTTCATGAGATAATGATGTTAAAAACATTCTCAAGAGTCATTTTTTCGCTTTCAGCAACTATTTTAAATGCTGCTTTATGTGCAGCAGATTCCCTGTGATCAATTTTTTTTTCTGAAGTGAGCTCAGCTGTTGCTTCCTATGTTTGCCAGAATAGGTTATCTCATTGTTGGTCCATTCTTTGGAAAGTTTCATTCCCATTTTCGTTTCAACTCCAAGAGTTCCAAATTTTCTACGAGATGTACAGCCAAGTTTCATTTAGCAAACACAGAGCCATTCATTTTTCAAGCAAAAATCATTTTTTTGATTATAGGTCCAGCAGTCCGGCCAGTCATTTGTAGTTTGGCTTTGCTTCTTAAGATCAGATTCAGAAATATCAACAGGCATCATTATTTTCGTGTGTTCTGTCCTTGTATCTGTTAATATTCAGGCCTTTTTATTAGCAGGACCGGTGGTTGAGAAGTAATTAGTAATTTTTTTCTTTTTTAAATTTGGGGTCACACTTTTATACTAAAAATTTAAAAAAGATTTTCAATTCACCAACTTTTTTTAAAATAAATTATTTATCTTTCAAACGTAGTCAATCACTGTACACACACCCACACACGTCAGTTGTGTAACGAAACATAACGGTCGCCACCCGCAGTAAGCACTCAGTGCCCGGCCAATCGCAAGCCAAGCAGCGCCATCACAACCAGCGTGGACGAAGTACGCATGCATCAGACTCGACACACAAGCAGCTTGCATGCACCGTTTTAAGGATTTTGCTACCGACCTGGTACACTCGGCAGGGCGATTTAAATCCAAGTGGACCAAACATCCGGCCCGCCATGGCCATTTATCCAGCCTACCTCAGAGGTTTTCAAAGTGCCGCACACGCGCCTGCACACAACATGTGCCCACGGCCGCCCTCCTCGCCCCTGCGTGGGGAGGCGGAGTCTTGCTCACAAGATCGTTAGGAGAAAACACTCTCCAAGCGAACAAGGCGCTGCATTGTGAGCCTGCCGCTGCATCGCGGCACGTGCCCGCCCCCACTTTGCCTCGTCTCCCCTTGCCGCACGTACCCGCGCGCCCACATCTTGCCTGTGCCCCCCACCTTAGCACCTGCCAAAGAAGGGAAATGCCAAAGAATGTTCAAACTACCACACCATTGCATTCATTTCACATGCTAGTAAAGTTGTGCTCAAAATCCTACAAGCTAGGCTCCAGCAGTATATGGACAGAGAACTACCAGAAGTACAGGCAGGATTTCGAAGAGGGAGAGGATCTAGATATCAAATGCCTACATATGCTGGATCATGGAGAAAGCTAGGGAGTTGCAGAAAAACATCTACTTCTGCTTCATTGACTATGCTAAAGCCTTTGAATGTGTGGATCACTACAAACTGTGGCAAGTTCTTAAAGAGATAGGAGTACCAGACCATCTTATTTGTCTCTTGAGAAACCTATATGCGGGTCAAGAAGCAACAGTTAGAACTGGGCACAGAACCACTGACAGGTTCAAAATTGAGAAAGGAGTTTGGCAAGGCTGTATACTGTCGCCCTGCCTATTTAACTTATATGCAGAGCACATCATGAGAAAGGCAGGGCTACATGAATCACCAGTTGGAATTAAGATTGCTGGGAGAAATTTCAACAACCTCAGATATGCAGATGATACCACTCTCATGGCAAAAAGTGAAGAGGAACTAAAGAGCCTCTTGATGCAGGTGAAGGAGGAGAGCGCAAAAGTTGACTTGAAACTCAACATCAAGAAAACTAAGATCATGGCATCTGGTCCTCTCATTTCCTGGCAAATAGATGTGGAAGGAATGGGGGTAGTGACAGATTTTATTTTCCTGGGCTCCAAGATCACTGCAGATGGGGACTGCAGCTAAGAAATTAAAAGACGCTTGCTCCTGGGGAGGAAAGCTATGGCAAATCTAGACAGCATACTAAAAAGCAGAGACATCACCCTGCCGACAAAAGTGTGTATAGTCAAGGCTATGGTTTTCCCAGTTACAATGTATGGCTGTGAAAGTTGGACCATAAGGAAGGCTGAGCGCCGAAGAATTGAGGCCTTTGAATTATGGTGCTGGCGGAGACTCCTGTGAGCCCCTTGGACAGCAAGGCAATCAAACCGGTCAGTCCTAGAGGAGATCAACCCTGACTGCTCTTTAGAAAGCCAGATACTAAAGATGAAACTCAAATTCTTTGGCCACCTAATGCGAAGGAAGAACTCCCTGGATGCTGGGAACAATAGATGGCAAAAGAAGAAGGGGACGGCAGAGAATGAGGTGGTTAGATGGAGTCACTGAAGCAGTTGGTGTGAGCTTGAGTGGACCCTGGGGGATGGTTGAGGACAGGAAGGCCTGGAGGAATGTTGTCCTTGGGGTCATGATGGGTCGAACACAACTTTGCAACTAACAACAACAACAACAACAACAACACTATAAAACTGGGCTCAGAAATCCACCAGCAACCAATGGAGCTATGTTATATGCTCCGATTATGCAGTCCTCAAAAGCAATTTGGCAGCTGCATTGTGGTGGCACAAAATAAATAGGCATTTTTGTATTTGGAAGCACCTTCTAAAGCTTTCACATCATTTTTACATGCAGCCCTGTGTAAAGCATAGTAGCCCTTTCTGAATGTAACCAGAAAGCATGAACAGTCATTCTAGGCCTACTTTTTCTAAACAGGTACACAGCTGATAAAAGAAATTCCGTTAACTGATGCCATAAGATTTGAGAAGAAATTCAAATGAATAATTCAATCATGTATGATTATCTGCAGAATAAATTTATTTCATTGTAGCTTAGAGGAAGAACAGAAATAATACCAACTGCCTCCAGGATTTCATGTCATACTCAGCTGCCTTGAAGAACAGAAACATAACACAGATAACTGTTTCTAAGACTGCAGAGTATGACCAGCTGTTTCAGAAGAGCACACACAACTTCAGTTAAGCCAAAGCTGCTGCTTTATGTACTCTACATCTCATAAACAAGGTTGAACACTCCAGCCACAGTACTGTAACTTTTCTTCTCCCATAAGATAAACTGTGACATGGAAATTACTACATGGTACTTGTAGTTTTGCAACTAAATCTATATATCAAAGTTAAAACTAGTTAGCTAGTTTTTGAAAGCACAGAGTGGACTTTCTTAAGGCTTTTTAATAGGCCTGGGATGGGATTTCTTTAGGCAGTTCTCCTTTTGCTACCTGTCCTCCAGTATCTGACAACTTATGTTCTCCACTCTGTAACAATAATCGTGCACAAAATTCTGCAAAATAAACAGACTGGAACTGTGCAACAAGAGTCTGGTTAGCTTGCTGGCAAATCCCATATTTTTTAACCTCTGCAAATTACAGATATTTCTTCACAACCATCCTGCCTGCATCCCAACAAACAAAAAAGATGCATATGGGAAGCATCATGCTTTAGATCCCTATTGAATTTTTTGAATTTTGAGCTTGATTTCATGCCTTCCAATTTTAAACTGCTACAGCTCACTGAATCTTCTAAATAGCAAGAATAATCCAAATTTATAAATACAGCCTTTTGTGAGGACTTGGTTATCCCCAACTAAACTGGGAAGTAATTGTGTCTAGTTGGAATGCTGCCTAAACTGATTAGGCCCCACCAAATGCAAAATGGCAACTATTTGCAGGGCCTATGTCAAGCTCAGTTGTGTTTTCTATAAGCCTAACTGGATCAGACTGTGTGGAGTATAGACAACCAACCTGAAGAGCACTCAAAATATGCCTAGTAATGAACATGCGTTTACATGCAGATGAGGGTATTAACATATTTTAATTATGTTAACACAGTAACATAGATGTGCCAGGCTGCTGATGGGAACTGGTCATTAGCATTTTAATGATTTAACAGTCACTTCTGATTTATTTTTATTGGTTACATATTATGTTATTGTATTGATGTATTGATTGTATTTATTAGATTTTGATTTTAATGTTGTAAGCCATCCTGAAATGTTATATATGAAGGACGGCATATAAATGTTTTAAATAAATAAATAAATATTTCTCCAAGTTAAAGCACAAAGCATTAATGAAAGCATGTGCCAGTTGGACACAGTTTGGCTAACGGTGACATTTTTAGATCAAGTGGGACACAGATGGTCTCCTGAATTTCTGTAATAATGCATACAGGTATGCTTCCATCACTATTAGTTCTCCTCACCTTCATCTAGTTCACCTTCAGAGTCACCAAACACTTCATCTTCATAACGAAATATGTCATTGTGGACATAAAACTTATTTGGAACAGATCCCTGTAAAAGTAAACAGACATTGGTAGAAGAAAGGTCATCTGTCTCTAGTAACGATGCAAATTATTTTCAAATCCAGTTATACTTTTCTTTGTGTATTCCTATAACAATATCAATATAAATTATCAATATAAACAAGACCTCTAACCCATAGCTTTCAACACAGCCTTTTGAAAAGTTCAGCCTTTTGCATATATGAATATGTATTACCTTAAAGCTACAATTACTTCTTGATAAAATTGCTTGTTGAAGTATCAAAGCAAAAAAGATGCAGGTATAATACTGCCTGTCTGAAATGAACTTGATAAAATGATACCCAGGGGAAAAAAATGATACCCAGGGGGATGAGGGGGAAAAAATCCAATTCCTGAAAACGTCAAAATGAATGCCAACCTGAAGAAAGAGCTCACTCTCTTCAGGTCTATAATCATCCTAGCCTTCTTCTGTTCTTTAATATCAGGAAAAAAGTGCTCTTTGAATCCAAGTGTACAGGCTGGATTTGTTCTTTTGCACCTAGCCATACTTGAGTGGAGTGGAGAAGAAGGTGATGACCAGGACACCAAGAATAAACCCAAATGACACCAAATAACAGCTTTGATAGATTGTGCCTGTGTTTCCTAAACGAGTAAGCCTTACTGCTTGTGCTGCTTACCCAATGTATCACTCCTGCTACAAAAGCAAAGAGATTAACATCCAAAGGAGGGGCTGCATCTTTTGGAATAGCAACAGCATTCCTAGAAAACACTGCAGGAGCAGGCTTACTTTACTCACTGTTTTAAGAGATATCTTGCAATAAGAGATATCTTTAAGTGAGTTAGTCATAGATCTAACACAAGAAAATTGCTTAAAACCTTTTTGAAAAAACCAAGTTACCTTCTCCCCAGCCCAAGCAGAAGTTAGACTCAAACTGCATTCACATTGTTACTTCATTTCTTAGATTTTAACTGCTATATTAACCCTTGCATTCCTGCTCAAAAACTGCTATGTCAGGCACTCATGCAATAGCAATTTCAATCCCATGTGTTAAGTGTTGGTGATATGATCTGACTCTGTATACAGACCATCTAATGTAGTGTTGTCTACTCTTGAGACCTTAGATCACTGAACAGCGGTGATTCCAGGTCTCAAGGGAAATGTAGTCTCTGCTATCTGAAATCCCTTCAACTAGAGACGCAGAGACTAAAGTTGGGAGTTTCTGTATACAAGGCATGGGCTCTCAACCTGTGCATACTCCCATGGAATGTCAGATCTAAATACAGGAATTCAAAATTATTGCAAGTATTAATTAATGACATCTAAGCAACATCAGTTTTTACACAGTATCTGACCAGTTTCAGGCAACTTTTATCAAGTCTCATTGCTCACAGTGTTACAGAAACATGTGTTGTGCTTACTTCAGGAAGGTTTTTTCCAACCCATGCAGTTGAAGTTTCATTCCAAGGAAAGCATTTAAAGTGGGTCCAACTCATGCTTAGAGACCTTATAACTCTGCTGCTTGAAACCAATTATTTGTGTGACTACTTACTTCTGGAGCAAGCACAAAGGTTTGCATGAACTTCCTCATTGGTTGCCCATTATTTGTCAATTCCCCCATGACTTGCACAACCACCCCATCATTCAGGGTTGCATGGGCATCCACATGGCGAATTTTAGTGCGACATTCACTGAACTGCAGGGACATCACCTTCTTGTGTATATCCTAAACACAAAAATGTTAAACTTGAATGCCAAATAAGTGTTTTTTTACAACATACACATTTTTTCTACTTTATGTAGGAAAAATATCCAACTCTGACCTCTCAATATATGAATTCAATAGCTATAGGCATTTTGTTTTACTGGGCTCTTTTAAAACTCAAGGGATGGATAAAATAACTACTTCCAAGATCCTTTACAGCATCACTACATATATGCTTAAAAAAAAGATTAACAAGTTTGAGAGTCAAGTTCTTTGAGGCAGTTGGTTATGAGTTCCAAACAGAATATGGAGATACTTTTCTTGATATGAGAAGGCATGGGGAAGATATACTGCCTTTCTTATACAAACTAACTGGTCACTTTTGATCATGTTACATAATGTGTCACACTTGAGGAATTGTGTGCAAGGGAAATGACCATGTAGGAGGAAAAATAAAAATACATGTATTGTTTAACTGTTTGGTATTATAGCCTTTCAGTAGTGTATAGTGTATTCAAAGAACATTGGCTACTGGATAGATTAAAATATATGAGTCTGTTGAAAGTTTATTGCCTGTCCCCAAGCCCCTTCTGACATGAGGCTTACCCCACTTTCCCTCTACTGCCCTGGTATGTTGCTACATCACTGTAGGCTAACCTATCTACCATGGCCCAGTGAATTTAAGAGAGGCTAGTCTGCTCAAGGATGACACCATCATGGCAAGCAAACAATGTAGCCAATCTAGCCATTCAGACCCTTCTTCACTGTGTCTCCCAGCCCTCAAGCATAGAATCAGGACCTAACAGGAGTTGCAGTAGCAATGACTGAATGATGAGTGTGGCAAGACACTAGAGTGGAGACAAAGTTAAAAGATCAGGGACATCTAAGGGAGGAATAAAGGAACGACACCAATCCCTATGAAAATTAGACCTCAGTAGCATTTGTTTCACCTCAGGCAGATGAGGGATACTCCTAATGAGATGTAAAAAATTATACTGGTACAGTGGTACCTTGGCTCACGAACTTAATCCATTCCACAACTCTGGTTGTGACCCAAATTGGTTATGACCCAAGTCAAATTTCCCCATAAGGTTCAATGTAAATAAGGTCAATCCGTTAACCATTTTTTTTAAATCAGAAAAATTTGAAACAAAGTGACAAAGAACAACAAAGTAATAAAGTACAGTACAGTACAGTGGAGAACACTAACCTAGGTGGAGGGGAGGTTATTGTTTGGAGGGAGAGTCCCCCTCCATAAGGACATTGGGGAGATCTCTTTCGGGGTTTCCTCTCTTCTTTCTCTCTTAGCTGCAGGGTCAATTTTGGTGAAAAATTTGTCTATAGTCACTTGTTTTTTCCTGCACTGTATAACCCTCCAGAAATGAAAGACCACGTTATCGTTCATCAGATTCAACACTCTGTTCGTTACAGTTATGTTGGGGTGGTGCTTCTCAAAGAAATCCTGGCACTCATTCCATTTTTTCATAATGGATTGCTTCACATCACTGCTAACCTCCTCCCAGTCTTCCTCTTCCTCAGTGGAATCCTCCTCAGCAAGTGTCTTCTGCTGCTCACTCTGGAGTTCAGCAAGTTCTTCAGTCGACAGCTCCTCTATGTCTTCCCTGCACAAATGCAACTGCGATTGTGGCCATCTCCCCACCTGGGGGGGTGGGGGGGAGATGGCTGCAATCTTGGTTGCCATTCAGTGTGGAGTTTGGGACCCAAGTCAAAATTTTCATGAAATTTTTGCTTGTGACCCGATTTGGTTGTGAACCAAGGCACCACTGTTTAATTAATTGCACTCCTTTCAGGAAAACCATAAGCCAACTATTTTTCTGGCTAAATATATTTTCTACACTGTACTTGCTAATTAATACAAGGATTCTGGCTGAAGGTCATGGTATGTTGTAGCTCTTTCACAATGCCACACATGTACATTTTCTATTTTTAAAAAAATCACTGGGAAAAGTCCAGGCCCAAAATCTGTTTTGTCCTAAATTAGGAGGGCAAATATCAGATGAATAAACTAATAGGTTCCATTCATGATTTAGAAGCACATGCCTTGGGTCAACACCATGAAATCAGGGGCTTGGGCAGGCTAGAAGACTCCAAGGAATGGCTTGATGGTATTCTTGAGAATATTTATTTATTTATTATTTATTTAAAATATTTATATGCCGTCCTATTCGCAAAAAAGCCTCAGGATGGCTTACAATATAAAACATAACATAAATTCCTGACCCACACTGGCTGCAATTAAAAACATAGATATGACAATATTAAAACACCGCTGGAATAAAAAGGTCTTAACCTGGCACTGAAAAACAAAGACGGCGCCAGGCAGACCTCTCTGGGGAGCGCATTCCATAGATGGGGCGCCATCGCAGAGAAAGCCCTCCTCCGGGTACTTTGCCTCCTAATATCTTTCATGGAGGGTTCCCAGAGGAGAGCCTCTGATGCCAATCTCAAGGGGAGGGAGGGCAAATATAGAATATTGACCCTGAGCAACCCAGTGGTAGATTTTCCAGAGGAAAATAGGGAATATTACATCATTTTCATATAAAGTACTTCAAATTACAATGTACAGCTATCTCACTGAGTGTTCAATACATATTTTGAAATTCTGAATGTCTCTATTGAAGACTGAAGTCTAAGTGTGTTCTCTTCTAAAATTACTGCTCCGTTTAAGCATGTTACAAGGCAATACAGAGATGGATTGAATGTGTGCATGTCATCTTGCTCATTTCATGATCCAAGACCAGTTTTGACAATTGATAAAGATCAGGTTTTGGCAAAAAAATTGGATTCTTCTATACTTTTGGGAGGAAAAGCAGTAAAGCAAGGAAACAAAAATGTATGGTGTTAAATAGTAATACCACTGTATTATATTGCAAAGAAAAATATTGAGCACATAACAATCTCACAAGTCTGCAATTAATCAATTTACAATTTACAAATGAACAATAGAAGCAAACAGTGAGCCTTCAACTCAGGTCTCTCAGATTAAACGCCAACATTATTAAATTAGTTCTCATATTAGCATTGAGAAGTAAGAATCCTTATCAGCAAGTATACTGCTTAGCCTTTCAACTCTGATAAATCAGAATGTGTAAATTCAGCTGTATGAAACCTACAGTAGTCTTTTATTTAGTGAAACTCTTGTAGTAACAAGATACTAATTCCCTAAATCAGGGACAAAGAATGTGCCTCTCTCCAGATGCTGCTAGACTGCAAATCCTGGCTATGCTGGTGGGGGCAAATGTGCACTGTAGTTCAGATAGTATTTATATAATCATTTTTAATGCCCCACAAAACTCATTTAGGCTTAGTTTAGGGCTGTGAGGGGAAACATGTGGCCATCCAGATGTTGCACTTCACTGCCCATCAGTCCATAATATATGCCTCAAAGGCAAGATTAACTTTTACCAGAGCAATTTTACATGACTATATTGTATCAGATTTACATGCCACTTAGAGCTTCGGATTGATCAAGGTGGCAAAGGCTATGATCTTTCTATAGTTTCTTTCCTTCTTTCTTTCATAAAGAAACTTTGACTTTCCCCAATTCCTCCAAGTGCTGGAGTCTCAATTTAATTACACAGTTGCTTCTGTTGAACAACACAGCTGTTAAGAGCCTTCATAAAAGCTAGAGTCTGTGAATCTATATAACCAAGGAGTATAGTATACTCTTGTGACACCAAAAGCTATGATTATTATTTTATGAAATCTCTATCTATATAGGAAAACAAAAACGCACACTACTGAGTGCCAGCATCCATAGCATTGCACATTTACCAGACCAAAATGGATCAAATTTGTCCCTCTACAGAAGCACAAGAAAAACTTTCTTGAGGGAAAAAGCTGGAGGTGTCCCCTAGTCCAAACCTACAACTGCATCTCTCATAGAAAAAAGAACACAGTGCATTGCGGATGCAGAAGAAATCATGCCTTGTCTGGAACACTGGATGGTGACCAGTAGGGAGAGAAAAAGGAGAATCATGTCATGTGCATGTACAAACAACAGAACACTAAACACAAGAAGCACACCAAAAGCTAGAAGAGAAAGCCGTTTTTTACAAGTTAAGTCATTTTGCTTTTATAACATGCCAAAAGAGCAAGTAAAAACATGCTATGTATTTTTCCTTATAAATGTATAGCACTCATTTAAATTGTATACAGGAACTTAACTTGATTAAACAATCATATTAAGTAATATTCAACCTAACATTCTCTCCATATTACTCAAGATTCTTCCGTGAAAGTTAATCATATATGGCATATTAATTATGTCCCTTATTTTTATAAACCACAAGCGTACTGGACCAATCAAGCTTGTTCTCAACATTTGGCAATTCATGTTTTTTCCAGTTGCCAATAAATAAAATATATGCTCTCTTTATTGGACTAACTCATACAGGAGTACTTCTAGAACAAACAGAAGCAGTTGGTTAATCCATTGAAGTATTTATTGTCAAAGAATCATGCTTTCATTCAAAGAAGAGAATAATACAGTTAATTTATAGTACATACAGCCTGGCCATAGACTGCTTCCTGGGGTTTGCCACTGGCATCCAGCCCACCATGGACATAAGATGAATTCCTGCCATAAAACCTGTAGAGACATTGAAGAATAGAGTTTTAGAAACTTTCTAAAAACCATTACTTAAAAAAAATGGTTTCCAATAGACTGTCCAATTTTTTAAAGTGCTTTAAGAAAAGTCACTTATGTCTTAGATAAATGATCAACCTGACTTTCCACAGCTGGTAAGTCCATGCAGAAATAGTAAGACATCTGAAAGAATAGCAAGGTGCTACAAAACAATTTATTGGCATCTATTAAGAAAACACTGACCAGATTTGTGACCTGTAACACTGACATCTGTATGTAAAACACCAGAATTCAAAGAATCCTCTCTTATCTTCAATGAACAGTTTTCTGGTGCACACTGCCAAATTGCTCAGGCACAGCAGTGGTGACAAAAATAAACAGAAACTAACAATGAGCTAAAGCCTGGACTCCTAGTGTACCACTTCCAAACAAACCAAGAATAGGAAACTACTTACAAACCCTGGCTTCAGATTTTGCTGGGTTAATGGGCTAAAAACCCAAGACTGCTGATTTGTATGAAATGCTAAGCTTCTACTTCCTGATTATTTCCTGGTTACTTTAACCACTCCCACTGGTGGGATGAGCCAAGCAGCAATGATTAGACAGTGTGCCCCAGTATGCTACTTGCAAACTAGAAGCTAGGATTCTCTCGAATTCTGGTTTATCATTGTGGGTTTATACATCTTTTATGATGCCCAATGAATGGATGCCATTCAATATCTGCATTTAAGCATACCTAAAATTTTCTGATATTGTGAGTACCTCAAGACTCCTGTTCACTGATAACTAGAGGGTAAGCCCAGAACCCCTTGGGAGAAAAAGTAGGTGCAAGAGGGACCCTACTTTGAGGTTGCAGGGTATTTATTGTATAGGTTGTGCCTGCATGGGAAGGATAGGCAGTTGGTGATACCTGAACCCCCTAGGTTAGCTATTTTACGACTGGCACATGATCCTCCCATTGCTGGAAAAATAGCTGTAGAGAAAACCATGGACAGGCTGGTCTGTAGGTTCTAATGGCCAGGAGGTATATAACAAGATTAAGCACTAATGTTTATCCTGTTCCAAATGTCAAAAAAACTCAGGGGAAGGGAGATCCTGTGGGGCCTTGGTGCCAATGCTGCTCATAGAGGAACACTTTGAAAGAATTAGGGTAGACCTGATAGGACCTCTGGAAAGCTCAGCCTAAAGGCACCAATTTATTTTAGTTTTGATAAACTATGCCATCCAATACCCCAAAGCTATCCCATTAAGAGGTACCATCTGCCTAGTCTATAGCACAGGAATTGATGGGGGTTTTCAACAGAGTTTGGTTTCCCCAAAGAAATTTTAACCGATCAAGGGGTGTTGAGGCAGATGTGGGCCCGGCTGAAGATAAAGCTCTTACAAACAACAGTGTATCACCCCCAAACAAATGGGCTAGTGGAACAGTTTAACTAGACCCTTAAGTAGACGCTGAAGAAATTTATAATGTCCTATTCACATCAACGGCACATCTTGTTAGGACCCTTGATGTTTTCAGTAAGGGAGGTGTCTCAAGCCTTTCAAACTTATATGGGTGACACCCCTGGAGAATTTTACATTTGGTCAAGAAGCATAGGGAAGCCACAACCCCAGAACCTACCTCCACCTTTCAATAAGTGCTGGATATGAGGAAGCAACTCACTGATCTGGCTCAGCAGAGGATAACTTTATGCAGGTCCAAAGGGAACAGTAGTATTAGTATGATGGTAGGCATGTCATGAATGGAGCTGACTGGAGCTGGGGGTTAGACTACATGGCCCCAAAGATGGCCACTCTGTTTCTGTGATCAGTCAGTCTAACCCTGGACTTTCCAACCAGGCCAGCATGTTCTCCTGCTCTTATCGTCAGGGGGGCAAGCCGCTTGCTCAATGGGAGGTCCCTACAAGGTTATTAGAAGGGTGGGACCAGTAGATTATGAGAGACATGTCACCAACAAGAAATGCAAGTCCCAGATTGATCATGTAAATCTGCTCAAAGTCAGGAGAGAAAGAGAGTTATGGACACCAGGCAGATTGCACATCAGAGGGACAAGAGGCCCCAGAAGGGTCATATATCTACCCTGGGAAGTTAGCTCTCGATTCTCAACTAACACCAACACAGGTAGAACAAGTTTGGGCATTAGAAGAAAAATTTGCCAAAGTGCTCTCAGATTTGCCTGGGTGCATGGGGGTCATAACCCATCACATCAAAACAGTCCCTGGGGCCATTGTCAGATTACCAATGTGGCCCTATCCACTGAGGAATCAGTGGCCCTTAGAGTTGTCAGCCAGTCTTAGTGCCCAAATCTGATGGAAGTGTTCACTTCTGTGTTGATTTTCGAAGAGTCAACTCCGTATCTAAATTTGATGCCTACTTCATGCCCTGAATAGATGGGCTACCAAATCTCTTGGGACAGGTTCATTTACTTTCCACCTTAAATCTCACCAAGGGATACTGGCAAATCCCATTAAATGAGGAGTTTAAGGAAAAGATAGCCTTTGCCACCCCTGTATATGCCTTTTCGGTTGCATAGGGCAGCTGCCACCTTTCAGCAGCTTGTGGACAAGGTGTTGGGGCACCTGTCCATTGTGTGCCTGCCTATAATGACAATATCATAGTATTCAGTCACAGTTGGGAGGAGCACCCAGACCATTTCCAGCAAGTATTAACTGCATTAAGGCTAGCAGGGTGAACATCTAACCCAAACAAATGCAAAATAGCTCAGGAAGAGATACAGCATTTAGGTTACATTGTAGGGCATAGTCAAATACAGCTCATAGCAGATAAGGTTAAAAGGTTAAGCCAATGGTCATGCCCTCACACAAAAAAAGGAGGTACAACAATACTCGGGACTCAACAGTTACTGCTGGCAATTCATTCCACATTTTTTGTCCAAAGCAGCCCCTTTAATTGATGCAATCAGGAAAAAGCAGAACTGTACCCTAGGTTGGTCCAGGGAAATAGAGAGGACTTTTCAGGATCTGAGAACCTACCTCCTCAGTTGATGCATTTTATGGTTACCAGATTTCTCCTGGGCTTTGTCCTACAGACTGATGCTTCAACTGCAGGCTTGGGGGCAGTTCTGACCCAGGGAAAAGGGGCATCCTGTACTCTACTTGAATTGTAAGCTGGAACTGCGAGAATGCAAATACTCCACTTTAGAAAGGAGGCTCTAGCCATCAAATAGACTGTCCTTGCATTAAGGCACTATCTCTGGGGAGTCCCATTCATGTGTGTCACTGAACATGTTCCTCTACAATGGTTTAATAGAATGAAGGACAACACATGGCTTATCTGTTGGTATTCAGTTGTAGTTCCACATTACAGCCACACACCTTTACGGTCCGACATGGCATTCAGTATGCTAATGCTGATTTCTTTTCCCACCAGGGCCCCTGCCCAATGCACGAAGATGGTGAACTCCTCTTGGACTGGGGGATATGTGAAGAGGTAGAGGGGCTCACCCATCTTTCCTTGGCGTCCAGCAGAGAGGAGTGGACGCTGACGGTGCCTGGTCAAAACAGTGCAGGACTTTGATTGCTGGGACAAGTGGGCATGGTATCCGCCAGGGTAGGAACAACTGGGTTGGGTGGAGTGGCTGTTGAAACAGGGGAATAAAGGAAGAGGCCATGCCAGAAAGAGGAGGGGGTGGAAGAGGAGGAGAATGAGAGAGACATGGAGGAGAGGGAAGGAAGGAAAAAGGCAGAAAAGGAGGCTTCAGGTCAGAAAACCTGGAACTGGCCAGCTTTGCCTGTTGAAGAGTTCCAAGGCACTGACAACTTGAAAGAAGCAATGAGGGGAAAACACACACCCAGGACGTGCAGTTCCCTGCTGTCCCAGTCGCAATGCCACTCCTTACCCTAGGTCCAGGAAGGAGGAAGGGTTTGGCCAGGGCAAGAATTAGGCACTTTGGGAAGCACAGCCATGACAAGAAACTGCAAGCTGCAATAAAGGAATCTGGTGAGCAAGCTTACTTTCTTTGTGAGCCCTTGTATAGAGGTTAGGAACAGGGTGTCTCCAACATGCCCCACCCTTCTGATCCCATTACATCCCCACAATGCAAAAGGAAGTGGGGTTGGGGGAGAGGCCTCCAAAGTATGTTTTCCTGGCCCAGCTTTTCAGAGAAGCAAATCTCTCCAGCATATCATTGTGAGTTTGGGTGGGAATCAGGCCTACAGATACTCATAGGTTTTCCACTTTCACAAGGGTCCTGTGCCCCTAACCCAACAAACATGGAGGCTGACTATACATGATCTGACTTACATCCAAATTCCACTGGAAAACAAATTTCCATTTACCCAGGAACAGAACTCATTCATAACCTGGGCACTGTATTAAAAAAAATCTCCCTTCCTCTTCCACAGCAAGCACACTAAAAACTTAGCACCCTAAGATAACCTGGGAAGGGAGACAAGCAAGCATCATCCCATATCTGCTTCTGGTTCATCTGCCCATATCATCTCAGATATCTCTCCTAAAGTGTACATATAAATCCAATTCTTTGGTAATAATTAAAAACATTTTAAAAATCATTACATTGCATTTATATTCTGCCTTTTTTCTTCTTGTGAGTGCTTCATTTTATCTGCACAGCAGCATCCATGAGGTTAGTTGCACTGAGAGTCTGCAACTGGCCCAATGTCACTGAGCTTCATGGCCAAGTGGGGACTAGAACTCCCATCTCCTGGGTTACCAGTCCAACACTCTAACTATGACATCATACTGGCTCTCAGTTAAACTCTCTCTCTTTTTTAAAGAATTCTGAGACCACGCTGGGGTCAAAAAGAATGTAATACATATTTGGAGGCACTCAGAGACTCAAATGGTTCTGAAATAGCATGTGATAGGGAAACCTACATAGGCAAAACATGATCACATGCTACTCTGCTGTAGATCCTACATCCTGCTTGGCAACTAATTTTTAGCAGGATCTCTATTCTGAATTGAGTAAAGCCTGAAGCATCAACAAGATTGGCTCTGTATACTGAGTTACTCCTCTATGAGACAAGATACAATTGACTTTTCAGCCTTAAAGGCTATTTCAGACTTCTCCATTTATGTACTCACTCTCATTTGCCCTTGTCTTAATTTCAAAATGGCAGCCAGTAACTGAGCAGTGTGGAGAATTCTAGCACATCCTCTGGTGCTTTTCCATAGTAGGGAAAAGAGATTCATTTGCCCTTTGCCTATGTGTTTGATTTGTGGGAGAGAAGGTACATCATATTGCAAGAGATCAAGAGCTATGCTGAAAGGCCTGATAGGAAACACCTGGGAGGTGGGTTAGACAGCAGTTGCCTAATTCAAACCTACACATGCTTTACAAGAGGCCTTCTGAATTATTCCTGGTCATCAATTTGGCTGACTTAATTCTCCAGCACAGTCCAAGTGCAGGCAACATACCATTCACATACTGCTCTACCTCATCTTGTAAGGAGCTCCTTTCTGTTTGCAGCTTATAGTACTTCCTCTTGCACTTTGAACTTGTTTCTCTATAGTGGAAGAAGACTACTACATATATCAATCATGGCTGCATTTAAACGAACAAAAATAGTTGCAGCATATTTTCACCTCAATCACTGTATCTAAAACTTCTTGGTTAAGAACAGACAATTTGCAAGACCAACAGTTCCCTTCATATGACAGCCTGGTATCTGAATGCATCATGGAGACTTCTCCTAAATTGCGGTCAATTAATCAACAAATGGAGTAAAAAAAAAAAGAATATTTTTTCTAACATTGTATTCATTCCCTTGTCGTGGCGAAGGGGCTTGAGTAGCTCAAGGAAGCTATGAGCTATGTCGTGGAGGGCCACCCAAGATGGACAGGTCATAGAAGATCTGACAAAATGTGATCCACTGGAGAAGGAAATAGCAACCCACTCCAGTATCATTGCCATGAAAACCCCATGGACAGTACCAAAAGGCAAAAAGATATGACACTGGAAGATGAGCCCCTCAGGTCGGAAGGTGTCCAATATGCTACCGGGGAAGAGCAGAGGGCTAGTAGTAGAGAGAATGAAGCAACTGGGTCAAAGCTGAAAGGACACTCAGTTGCAGATGTATCTGGTGGTGAAAGGAAAGTCCAATGCTGCAAAGATCTATACTCCATAGGATCCTGGAATGTAAGATCCATGATAAAGGACCAATATGGCAGGGACCTAACAGAGGCAGAAGAGATTAAGAAGAGGTGGCAAGATTACACAGAAGAACGATACAAGAAAGAGCTTAACATCCCTGATAACCACGATGAGGTGGTCACTGACCTCGAGCCAGACATCCTGGAATGTGAAGTCACATGGGCCTTAGGAAGTCTGAGCAACAACAAAGCTAGTGGAGGTGACAGTATTCCACCTGAGCTATTCAAAATCTTAAAAGACGATGCAGTAAAAGTGCTACACTTAATATGCCAGCAAATTTGGAAAACTCAACAGTGGCCACAGGATTGGAAAAGGTCAGTTTGCATTCCAATTCCAAAGAAGGGCAATGCCAAAGAATGTTCTAACTACTGCACCATTGCACTCATTTCACATGCTAGTAAAGTGATGCTCAAAATCCTACAAGTTAGGCTCCAGAAGAATGTGGACCGAGAACTACCAGAAGTACAGGCAGGATTTCGAAGAGGGAGAGGATCTAGATATCAAATTGCCAACATACGCTGGATCATGGAGAAAGCTAGGGAGTTCCAGAAAAACATCTAGTTCTGCTTCATTGACTATGCTAAAGCCTTTGATTGTGTGGACCACAACAAATGGTGGCAAGTTCTTAAAGAGATGGGAGTACCAGACCACCTTATTTGTCTCTTGAGAAACCGATAGGCGGGTCAAGAAGCAACAGTGAGAACTGGACACGGAACCACTGACAGGTTCAAAATTGAGAAAGGAGTTTGGCAAGGCTGTATACTGTCACCCTGCCTATTTAACTTACATGCAGAGCACATCATGAGAAAGGCAGGGCTAGATGAATCACCAGTTGGAATTAAGATTGCTGGGAGAAATATCAACAACCTCAGATATGCAGATGATACGACTCTAATGGCAGAAAGTGAAGAAGAACTAAAGAGCCTCCTGATGTGGGTGAAGGAAGAGAGTGCAAAAGTTGGCTTGAAACTCAACATTAAG